CACTTGGATACATTCTTCTGCAGTTGGCCAAAATAAATATTTATTTGTTAGAATGTTAAGTCCTTGCTAAATAGTATCAATACAGTTAAATACTGTCGAAGTTGCTACATTGAAACGATCACCAATCGATATGGTATCGTCTTTAGCTAAATACTGTGGTGATGTGTATGCAACCAGACATATACTGGTGCAAGCTTATGACAGTACACATATATATATATACAAATTAGTAAGGACCAATAAAGCAGTCGTTATCCCGTGCTGAACCTAATCATTAGAGCTGTAAAATTCAGTTACTTTTCGGTACCTGTAATTACTCGTTACTTTTTCATACAGTAATCGTTACTTCGGATCAGTTATTCGAGTACTCGAAGTTCAAAAGGTGCTGTACGGGTAGTACAAGTACTGCAGCAGTCGGATTATAACAGTTTGGGATCCGAAGTTACTTATGCAGGTTAGGTAATCGGTACCTACTACCTACAAATTTCGATTTAGAAACTTATGTTACGCAGCATTAAAGTGTTTAAATTATCAAAAGTAAATAATTTGATTTTCAGCTTGTATTTCGGTGATATACGGGAAATTTTCAGACTCAGTGTAGTATAGCATTCTACAATATTTGAATTTCACGTTTATACATATTGTGGTAATCTGTACAATTTTTAAATTCATGATCTGACTAATGATGGAGCAGAGTTCATTTTTGTTACAGTGAACAGTTTCGTTTTTACCAGTGGATTCGGCGATAGCGGTTCAGTATTCGGATCTACACTTACTCCTACTACATCTCTTGCAAAAATCGGGAATCGAGTAGTGAAGTAACGATAACGTATTTTTTTTAGTAATCGTTAGTTCGGATCGTGTCGAATAACGAATAGTAACGATTTCTTACAGCTCTACTAGTCATTGTCCATACGAGCTCCCATATAACCCAATACAACACAAATGCCATAAAGAAATGAGTAGGTACTTTCTTTTCTAATTGAATCGGTAAGTATCCGTCACGGTACTGGGAACGACGTAAAACATTGCCGAATGCAATAATTAATACTAAATTTGTTTGTTTTGTCATTCGAAAGTGCATATAAAAATCGTATGATAAATAATTATCTATCCATACTTCATAGAAATTTGGGAATCGGCAATGTTTATGTCTAATTTGTAGTATAACAACCCCGGGTACGATCGTAAAAAAGAAATAAACGTAGTTGTGGCCAAAAATATGTGATCGTCATGAGGAATACCTACGTTGTATACATCTATTTTTAATTGACCGGAAGGCGCTGGCTACTAACTTTAAAGAGGGGAAGTATGGATTAATTTTATAAAACAAAAGCAGAGTAAATACACCTAACTATATTATTTAAATTCAATAGGGCTCTTATGCGTATGACATAAAGTGAGAACAAGCAATGCTTTATTACTTGTTTTTCGAACAACGTAATCATGATAAAACAAGTTAAATGTGAAAGAAAGGAGTTGTTATTGCAATATCTGGGCAGTCACGACAATATATATAAATTTTAACATGAAATAAATAATGAGCAATCGTTAATAATAACTGTAACAATTTTACCTTAGAAAAATATATGCCTTTGAGCATAAAGCAATGGAAGCTAAACATACAAAGAATTATTATCATGAAACATCTATAAACATCACAATCATAAGATTACATAGAACAATTAACAACAAAGTACTTAAAGAATATTACCTGCTAACTAATAACATTTTAAACACTCTGATTTTTCACTATTTTGCCTCACTGCCCACCGATCGTCTTACTCCCGTCTCCACACTGTTCTCCCTTCAACTACTTATGTATTTTCACCGTACACCGATCGTCTTACTTTTCATTCTGCACACTGTTCGCACTTCAACTACCTATCTTCCTTCCAGAATTGCCCCACCTAGGCGTTTGCTTTTTTGCGCTTCCTTCTACCGACCGTTAATATTACTTTTTCATTATTATACAACACTCATGTAACAGGTGACGTCGAAGTTGATAAGATAAGGACGGTTTTGCACAAATTGTAATACAAAACATGTTTACTTCTTCCATATCCACTCCACTTGCTTCAAACAGATGTTCACAAACGTTAATCGCATTTGAGGTGGTTAAATTATTTGAAAAAATCATTTGATAATATTCCATATTAACAGATAACACTATACCAACGAGAAACGATAGAATCGGCGGCTCCTTTGATGTTTTGTGGTCACGATAAAGTCGACCAATTTGAAGGAAACAATCGTTTACACTGAGAGAAGTTATACTTTTGAATAGATATAGGTACACTGAACTGTGATAAAATGTAGACAAATTATAACATCATCGCAACGGTTTTCATAGCATTGTGTTATATACCTATACTCCGCGGTAGAAATTATAGAGAGTGACTCAGACATAACATAAAAACACTATTATTATTATTTATCTTTGTGCCGCTCGCTACGCACATCGATAGAATATATAATGGTCTATAGACTGAGTTACACTGAACGTCGATCTATATTATATCTCTGTCTTTTGCACTCGGTAGGGAATAGAGAAATGCTTTTTTAGTGGGTGTAAACGGACTTGATTTACCCGTCATGAGAAACGTCATAGCATAAGCGTAGACGAGGGATCTAATTCCGTTGCTATAGTAAATTTATAAATTAAAAAAACTCAACCGGGACGTTTTAAAACGCTGTAATAATTAAAATGGATCAAAGTGCCGGTTATAGCAAACCGTAAAAAAATATTAGATGTTATGTTTTATTATCTTTTTTCCACATTTTCTATATATTGTTGCCTTTTATGCAGACACGCCAATGGATTTTCGTTCCCGGCACGCCTCATCCTCTTTACTAGTCCAAAAGCTAGCGATGTCCAGAATTAGTAATAAATGTATTGAAATATTAAGTATATGCTAAAGAAAACAGAAAGTCCATTAAATAGTAAATTGTAGATAATTCAGTGGTATATAGATTTATTCTTTTGGCGTTATTTAAAATGTCAGAAAAAAAAGTAGCCTTTTATATCCGCCTATACTATTTTCCTAATTATTTGTTTTATATTTTCTTAATACGATAATAATAATGATTCTTAACTAATGATTTAATCCTTTTTTAAATCTGTTTACATACTAATATGCTGTTAAAACTTATACAGATTTTATATGAGTTAAAAGACATAATTCATTTTTATTTAAATTTGAGACATAGTTTTACATGTTTTATTGTGAAACAGGGTAGCCTAAAGAGGGGAAACCTGTCCTCAATGCAATAAAATATAAATTGGTTAAATTCGCATAAACTAGGTACTGTTAAAAATGCATATCTATCTTCAAACACATTTTATTGTTGGAATTAATTTGTGCTATATTCACCTTTCGTAATCCTTAGGGAATCTAAAAAGGGTTAATCCTTCGCCAGTTTTGGATGAACAACAGCGAAAAGCACAATAATAACCAGATATTTTACTGATTTCAAGTTGATTCTAAATGAAAACGAAATACAATACAAATAAATCCACTATCAATTAACGTTATACAATACAACTGTCCACCGCCAAAAAGACTATTTACTAATTACTGGTTTCTTCTATTTATATATGGCGGCTCTGACAGTCATTGACAGCTGATAGCAATAACACAACCCAGTTCGCGCATGTGCGTACGAAAACTGTTAACGCAGAAAGCCTTGCTGTCCCTTCTCGTTGGTATAGTGTTCTCTGATATTAATTTCATCGTTTTAGGTAACATATACATATTTTAAGAAAATGGTAAAACCAGAGATAACCAGTAAAACTAAAAATAATAAAAGCAACTCACTTATTTTGGTCAATTTTCTGAGGTTAGAGGACTAGGGGCTAGGGGTAGATCATAGATTTTATAGTAAATACAGATGATAAGGTAGACAAACATAAACAAACCAAAATAATTTTTGTGAGAACTCAAACACATAACTCAAACCATAGAAAATGTAAATAACTCAAACTCAAAACCAAATCAAACTGGGTAAAGGTGCGGCTTGTGTCGACATTGTCGCCCTTGCAGCATTTCCTAAGAAAACCAAACAGTAGATATTAGGTTATTTTCTAGCACCGATCTCAAACTGGTTTGAACGATCAGGCGCAGGCGCTGTTTTGTATTTGATTTAATTAAGCAGTGCGTAGATTCCAATGCACATGCTTATTACAAATAATGCAGTTCAAAATTTCCGTCATCCGTCTGTAATCTCTAACTTTTAAATGTTTCGCGGTGTTAAATTTTTAATTGCATCATTGCAATTTTCCAGTAAACTTCTATATAGTGTTATTAAAATAATGTCAGATTATGAATAAAGTAGTATTGGAAGCGATAGTATAATTTCAGAGCTGCAAGTGAGTGATCATGAAGAGCTGTTACATTTATTTGTACGTCGAACTTTTTCTAAAAATAAAAATTTATCTCAGGCATATTCGTTTCAGCAGAAATTTAGTTCTCAACGAAGTTTGGACTAGACATGCGCATTCAATACAGTTTCCTGACGGTTTTTAATTTGCTGCTGGAAAGAACTTTTTAAGATTAAGAGTATATGTCCATATGTATGTATGTACGTATGTATGAAAAGTAATAATCAATAAGAGCAATCAACAAAGTCTTTTCTACAAATTCGCAATCTTTAATAAATACGAAATACATAAAACAAAAATGATTTCCCTAACTCATAAAGAGTTATGTTCCACTAACCTAACTTTTTAGTTAAATAACAAAACCCTTGGTTGGAGCATATCAGCATAGAGCTCTACAATAATTGTTGGTGCTCGAGGGGCCAGGAGAGAGGAGGGAACGAAAAAGAACACTTCAGAAGTAAAGTGTTCCCTATTATTGGAACACGAAAAGTGAATTCGAAGTACTTCAGTAGTACCTACTTCTGGAGCGCTCCATTTGACTATTGGAAAGCAGTAATTGCAATCTATAGTGTTTTTTATCTATGGTGGTGTAATTCTGGAATTTTTGTGATTATGGACTTGAACTTTGATTCATATGAACTCTGAATTGAGAGGTTTATTTCACTATTTTTGTTACATTCCCAGTTTTGTTTCATACAATAGACACAGTGATAAAGTTCTGTGCGAATTAATAAATTAATTTGATTTTATATCACAATGATCAATACTGGGTAAGTTATAAAATGAAAGTAACATATAAAATAAATAAATTCAAAATAAGGAATTATTTTTTTATCTGAATAGCGTATGGGAACAGATATTTAAAAGTTTACACCAATGTTTTTCTTATTTAAAATAGAACAAAAAATTGCTATATATTTTTTTTAGAATAATTTTAGAGATACTTATTTTAAATTTATTTTACTGATACATTTTTTTGAATAAAAAAATATAATTATTGCCTGCAACAACTCATTTTTTTTTTAAATATAATGCTTCCAATGAAAATCTAGTGGCGTTGAAATTTCAAGGTTTTTATTAATATGTCTCATTTTGTCTTTGCCTCTAATGGTTAATATATTTGTATCGTAGTTCAGATAATTTTTGCCTTTAATTAGATAAACCCTTATCCAAGGTTACATCAATTGACGTCAGTGATGTAAAATACAGTTACCTTTTAGTACTCGGAGTATTCGTTACTTTTATCTTGAGTACTCGTTACTTTGTATTCGTTACTAAGTTACTTTTTTCTACGCCGACTTCCCACAAAAGTCAACCACACGCTCGAAATACCCTGTCATTCCTGTCAATATTAGCAAAAAAACTTTTATCCATCGTGGCTACATCTGTTCCAAGTGAACGTATATTCTCTAAGGCAGGTCAAATAATAACAGAACGGCGCAATAATACATTATTAAAGTCCAAGTATGTAAATAATAGTATATTATGTTACTAGGAGTAGAAGGCGATCATTATGTGTTGAGCCCAAAAGTTTGCTCGCCGAGGCGTTAGCCGAGGCTGAGCAAATTGGGCAAAACACATAATGAGCCTTCCACTCCGAGTGACATATACTATTTTTTCTTCAAGCGTGAATATAAAAAATTACTAATTTTGAAAATTTATAGCGGATAACGCGATGTTCAATCTCAGCACAAAATAAAATCAGTAGGTAGGTAATACTATTTATTTTATACATTTTATACATTTTATTGATTAATTAAACATGACAGTTTTAACCACTTTATTCATGAATAAAAAAACAAATGTAACAATTATTTTTCTTTAATTTGAATTAAACGAATAAACATCTAAATTACCTACATGTCTATCATCAAACTTTATTTATTAACATGAATATTAAATGTGCAATTTTGTATGGTACAGTTGTTGATATTTAAAGCGCTGCTGGCTGTCTTTTTTTCAAAGTTTACAGTTCTGTCGTTGAATACGTTACTTGTAATAAGGTTCTCAGTTTCAGTGTTAACAATTGTACCATTATTAACAGAAAAGTCTTCGATTAAATTATTTTCAGGATCAATATTTACAGTTTCGCTTGATGTACTTGGTTCATTATACTCTAATGGGTTTAATATTTTCATCGCTATCTGTTTCTTATTGTTTACAGAATCTTCAATGTATCCTTCAGCGACGCTGGTAGATTTCCATCCACCATGTCGCTTTAGGGTTGTAATGTCTCCACCATTATCAACTAAGATAGTTGCCGAGGTTCTTCTAAGGCAATGCCC